TGGGGGCTGGTAACGGACAGCCCCCTCCGGCCCACCAAGAGTCCTGGGCTGGATTGTGCAATATCTCGGCTCTCGGGCCTGCACTAGTCCAAAGTCTGGGAGTTTGAGATCCTGTTCTAGATGATCCCTTTGGCTACGCCTACACTGCAGTCTTTTGCCGGCAAAGAGTTTGCTAATGAAGCGCTCATTAGCATCTGTTGCGCTGTCATTTGCATATTCTCTGCCAATGCTTTTTGCACAAGAGGTTTTTGCGCTAAGACAAGCAGTGCAGATGGGTCCGTTTTGTGCAAAATCCCCCTTTGGCGCAAGATCCTTGTGCCTACTTTGTTGGGGCATAAGGATCTTGCGCAAAAGGGTTTTTTTTGTGCGAAACGGACCTGTCTACGCTTCTTGTTTCTGCGCAAAAACCTCTTGTGCAAAAAGCATTGGCAGAGAATATGCAAATGACAGCGTAACAAATGCTAATGAGCGCTTCATTAGCATACTCTCTGCTGGCAAAAGGCTGCAGTGTAGACGTAACCTGAGTGTGAACTAACGGCAAACCTAATTGCACCCATAGCAAGCACGCTCTACCAGCTGCATTGTAAAGACGGCTCCCTATCATCAAACCAACTGCAGTTTGGCTGAGCTTTGCGCTGTAAGTTGCATTATGTATGGAAGGATCTCTCGATTAGATTCTCTTTTTGGTAGAGAGAGGCCAATGAGGCAGTGTTCAGAGATGGATTAAGTTTTGGCAAGGGTTCAGATGCAGGACCTGATCAGCACTAGGGATGCGGTCGGATGAGGCCAAGATCTTAGGACACTCCTGTCCTCTTTAATTGAAATCCTGGGAGTGGTACTTTGGAACCAGCAAATGGACCCTTTTTAAAGGTTTGTATCTAACCTAGACTCACACATAGTGGTGGGCCATTGGCCGCTCACTGACCCCGAGGGGGAAAAACCCCGCTCCGAGCCTGGGAGGGCTGAGCTGGGTCCTGTCCCTTTAACTCCACGGAAGCCAAGTTGGCAGGGCAGGTAGCATGAAAGCCCAGCCCAGGAGCTCAGGAAGGCCTCATCTGCCTGGGGAAGCAGAGGCCTGCCCTGAGCCCCCAAGCCAGGAGGGCCCTGAGGAACTTGCAGAGGCTGAGGATTGGCCTGGACACTGGACCCCTGCTCGGAAGAGGAGACCTTGTACACCCTGCCCAAGGATTCAGAGAACCAGCAGCCAGAATGGCGCCAGGTAGATGCGGAGGGGGAGTTAGGCAGTGGCCCAGGGGAAGCCGACGGCCGTCAGGCTGGTCTCATAACGTTCTAGAGTGTGTCAGAGTGTTGCGGGCTGGATCCCTGCTGACCCCAGTGGCAGCCAGGGCTGTCACTACTAGGGCCCTGGGTTGGGACTCAAGCAGTCGCCCCCTCCCCACTCGTGCCTGGGGAGCTGTTTGTTTGGCTGCCCCGCCCTGACTCGGGGCCTGGGGCTTATTGACTGTGGGACAGTATTCGTGTCACTGCATACCCTGCTCTCAGGGCCCCCAGTTTGGCAGAGCCGCTGGACCTGTACTTACAGGCCTGAGCACAGGTCAGGGACCCAAGACTCAAGCAGCTGGCTTACAGGCTGTACCAGCTCTAATTTCTGACTCTTCACTGGGTTTCCCTGTGAGCACCAGTGCGGTCTGTGCTTTGGCTGTAACTGATGGCTGGGGTTCAGCCAACCAGGCCACCTGAAGAAAACACCTGCCTTACATCAAGCAGTGCTATGTAAAGGAAGGAAACGAAGCAAAGCAGCGCCCGTCCTACTGAAGATAATCTCCATGTTAATAACCCTGGTCCTGGGCGAACCAAAAAGCCCGTTTCTGTTCCTGTCACTGGGAGATTCCTTTTGTCTCCAAGGCCTGGTCTTAAAAGTCTTTGGAACTTGCTGGAGGAAAACTTCAACTGGGGCTTGAACGCAGGCTGCTAAACTTGAAGCTTTAATTAGTCTGGGCCTGACTGGCCTCATGGGGATTTCATGGCCGCTGGGAAAAAGCGGCAGCCAAGCCTTGTAACAAAAGGCATGCGTGGCCTCCCAGAGCTCCATGATAGCCTGCATTGCATTAGAAGAGAGCTGTGGTTCTGTAGTCGGGTAATTAATTGGCATTTCCATAAGCAGTCGCTGCTAACCTTGTAAATAAAGGAGGCGGGAATGAGGCCCAGATGTGGAGGCTCCAGAGGTAAACGGGGTGTGTGTGTGTGTGTGTGTGTGTGTGTGTGTGTGTGTGCTCACTTGATTTGTAATGAGCATGCCACTAACTACTTCAATGGGCATCCCTTAATTTAGCATGGTTGATGTGGAGGTGAAATGAATGTGAAATGAATGTAACTTCTGTTGCCTTTTCCACAGTAGCTATTTGGCAGCCAGTGCTACAACCAGGCCCGAAACCGACGCCCATGGGTGACTTGAGGGTGGACGCTGTTGGGCATAAATAAGGACCAAGGGGCTTATCTTGGCCTCAATCCTTGGAACATGAAAGTAACGGAAAGGGACCACAAATCTGCGGGAAGTGTCAAACAAACCTGTTCCACTCCAACAAAGGAGTGCCTCCATTTGGACACCGAGAACAGCACTGCCCCCAGATGAGCATGGGAAGTTGTGTATACATGGGTTATTATGGCCCCATGAACTTCTCTGCTACCTGGACTCCACCTGCTTAGCATTAAATGCTTAACTGCCACCTTGTCCCAGAAATGGAGCCAGAGTTTTGGCTGGTGATGATGTCCAGATCCACAGGGACAGGAGGCGGGGCTAGCCAGCAACCTAAATCCTTGGGAGTTGCCCTTCGTGAGTACAAACGCTAGCTAAAGAATTTAATTTTTGGTGGGCCATCTGCCTAGTGAAACTGGTCCTCATGGTTTCCGTCCCTCGCTTATGTCTTTTTTTTTTTCTCCTCCCTAGGTGATTTTCTTTCCTCATTTCTCATAGGGTGGGGAGTCGATCTCATTGTGAAGTCCATTCTTTGGGGATGGGCTAGCAGGGTCTTCTGACCAGATGGCATTTACCTGCAGTGCTACCACCATGGCATCCTTTCCCATCTCATCTCAAAAGTTTGTATTATTTTCTTAGCAGTTAGCGTGCTCTGCTCTCCAGCAAAAGATACCCTCTCAACAGCCAATCCATGCGAAGTGAGCAATGTAGCTCTGAATATTCTTATGGAAGGGAGTGAGGACGCTGTTTTGCTTCCCTGATGAATTGCTCTTTGGATCTATCTTACAGGTGTTGCTCAAATCTGAGGTGTAACATGACAGAATTACAGGCACAATTGTAGTTGGAAAAATAACGGTTGGTAGATCGTGGCGTGCGTCTAGGAATCTGGAATGTTCGAAGTTGTGTTCTGATTGGTCACTTGGGACTCTGCACCAGCCCAAAGGGGCCTCACAAAGGTGAGTGGAAAATCCATCTACCTATTGCATTAAAAGTAATTTTGATCATTTTCAATAAGGAAGGGAAAGAATATGCCAGGTGCATTCAACAAGAACATGCCAGGTGTGTTCAACAGGGCCCACCCAGCTTTTACTGATCCTAGGCTGAAAAAGATCTAGCAAGAAGCAAATTGTCCCACATACACCCCCTCCTTGTCCGTGAGTTGGCTGGCCAGACTATCCCCACATTTGGAAAAAAATATTTTTCTTCTGTAAAATGTTCGCCCCCGAGTGCTTGTAGTCCTGATCTCTCATGTGGGTCTAACGATTGCCTCTGGCGCCACAGAATTAATTGCTCAATGATATTGGGACTCAAATAACTTTTTTTTTTTTTTTTTTAAAGCTGTTTATCTTTCCACTTTTATAAGCTGGCACTGGAAGAATTTTAGGGCCTTTAAAAATATTATGAATACTTTGTGGCGTTGGTAGGGGCTGCAGCTTGTGCCTTTTAGGAACGATGTAAAATAAATATCCCATTAGGCAAGAGAATAGGGGAAAATGGGAATGTAACCAAGAGTGCTTAAGGGTTAAGACAAGTTCTCCTGCTCTGCAGACAGATTTGATTGTCTGTGTAGGGAGCTGGTTCTGCCTAGTGAAATGAGAGGGCCATTCCCAGATTAATCGTGTGCTTTCACATTCATGTACAAAGAGCAGGAGATGAATCCTACAGCGGAGAGTGAAATCACAGCACTTTAGTCCTAAGAATAGGGACAAATTTGCAGGGTTGTCTTCAAGTTGTCATTGTCAAGTCCAAGTCGAGTCTCAAGTCACTACAGTTCACGTCTCAAGTCAAGTCTTGAGTCCCTAAAGTCACTTTTGAGTCAAGTCCCAAGTCGTCTCAAGTCTAAATTTAAAAAATGCCAAGTCACTTTTGTACAAGCCATCAATATTGGCATTTTCAGACAATTTTTTTCACCATGTCGGTTTAACAAAATTAGCAAGTCTCAAGTTGAGTCTCAAGTCACAAACAATGAACCCGAGTCGAGTCTCGAGTCGAGTCTCAAGTCGAGTCACCTAGGCGACTTAAGTCGGACTTGAGTTCAAGTCGTGGGACTCGAGTCAACAACTCTGCACATTTGTTCAATAGCTGGACAATTTTTAACACACAGGAGCCCCCCTCTTTCTCCAGCCACAATCCACCGCCCAGACTCCAACTTAGGTTGAAATATTTCCAGCTCTTGGGAAGACTCTTCAGTCGCTTCCAACAATTCCATTCTGGGCCTGCCCTTCCCGACCCACCCCAGCCGGTTCCCTTCCCTCCGCATGACTGGGGGGAGGGGGGGGGACTGTCTCTTGGCAATAAACAACTCATTACTCATTGAAATTAGTCATCTAAAAATAGTACATGACTACCCCAAAAGCTGCAGTATGTCCCATCATCTTTGGTATGGGGAGATGCCTACATGGTGATGAACCTTCCTTTGAGTGGTTAAAACCTACAAGGCAAAATCTTTACTTTGGTGTATCCTGAAAAGGCCTGAGGCTGCCTTGTTCCTGTACTCAGCCCCGGCTTGGGTAGGAACCCCTGTGCCATGCCACTCCATTGATGGGTTGCGGTTATCACTTACTCATCTCCTATGTAGAGATTAGGCCAGACTTCATTGACGTGGGCGTACTTTGGGGTGCCTTTCCAGAAGAGCCGCTCTAGTTCAAACGCGCCGGGGGTACAGTAGTCTCCATCAGGGTCCACTTTGACTGCCGTGTAGGCACTTCTCTTCTTGTTCAGACCCACGGCAGACATCTTGTTCCCAGAGGGTTATCTGGTGCTGGATACTTGGAATGTGACAGGATCTAAAATGCAACCAAGAAAAGAATATAAAGCTGGGAGAAGTGTCAAAGCCAGTTGGGTCCACTCTGGTGAAGGGCCTCCAGCACTTTGTGATGCTGAAAGCCTCACAATCAACGTGCCTGGATTTGGAGCTGGGTTATAAATGGGTAGACACACTCTCTGACGGATGCAGACCCACAATTGGAATTTGTCTCTACTGTGGTCTTCCTTGATACCTCCCTAGATAAACTTGCTCACCGTGGAGACAAATCAACTGTGCTTCCATGGGTTGTTTTACCCTTCCCTTTCAAGGGAGCAGAGTTCTGTAGACCGCAAGTGCTGCTGATGAAGTGGGTCTTTGCCCACGAAAGCTTATGCTCCCATACATCTGTTAGTCTATAAAGTGCCACAGGACTCCATGTCACTTTTGCAGATCCAGACTAATACGGTTACCCCTCTGATACTTGACAAGTGCTGCTGAGAACTCTACCTCCGAAGAGTCAGAGAATTTTCTCCATCAGTAGAAATGGTATGTCAATAGATCAAGTTAAAAGCTGCTTTGTCATTAGGATCTTACTGTCTGGGAAGAACACACCTTTTTCTTGGTGAAAACATACCCATAGAATGTGGGTGTTAGCCTATGTTAGCTAATGTGATCTAACACAATGCATTTCATCCAAACCTAGCCACAGCCAAGCCAAAACCTTTCTGTCAGTTGGAAAATAACCTTCAATCCAGCCATGCCGGTTTATACCAGCTGAACTTGGCTCCCAGATTCCCACTGTTTTAAATCTAGTCTAGGTACATTAAGACAGAACAAAACATTTCAGGGGAAATCCCATGGCATGGTAACTTTCAATCTGGACTGTAGCTATTCATGTAGTTAGAACCTGTTTTAAAGAGAGACCTGCTTCCTGACCTGGTACATCCCCAATAAAGAATCAGAAGCCGCAGGGAAGCAAGTGGCAAGTGGAAAATGTACATTTGAGTCACGTTCAGTCCAAATCGACACAACTTGAGCTTCGTACCCTTGCTGCCTCCAAGACATTGCATGCTACAAAAAGGATGCTGGTACCATAGGTCCAGGCAGCTTATCATAGCAGGGTTTTTGCAAACAACAAAGAGATGGTAATACATCTCTTGTTCTTCTTTCAAGGACAGGGAGGTTACCAAAAGCAGAGAGTGCCTTTGTTCTGTGGGTTGCCTGCCGAATGTTACTCTAACTGTGCAGCTGATCTCCATATCAAACTCCATCTTTAAAAGCCAGCATTCTGGGTTCATCTCAAAGTTTGATCTGGTCTTTGCACTTGAAGTCAGGATTCCTCTCTATGGAGCCAAAGTCCTTAGCAGAAAACCATGGGCAAAAGGTCTGCATTAATGCTCTCTACAGTGTTCTGAATACAAATTAATTCTGTTGGCCCCATGCGTGTTGGTTTCTTCATGCTCAGCTTGGATCACTTAAAAAAATGGAGGGAGGGAGTGTTTTATTTTTTTCTTCAATGCCTCCTTCCTTTTTACCTTCTCCCCTAATGTAAACTGGAAACCAACTTCTCTTCCTCCATGTTGCCCACGTGCTTTCTGCAGCGTCTAGCTCTGCCACTCACTCTGTCCCAGGCTACATCTACACGGAGAGTTTTCTCAGCAAAAAATATGCTAATGAGGGGCTCATTTGCATATTTTCTGCCGATCCGTTTTTGCGCTGGGGTTTTTGCGCAAAAACAAGCAGTGTGGATTTTTTCTTTTTGCGCAAAAACCCCTTTTCCCGCACGATCGATAAACCTCCTTTTTTGGGGCCTAAGGATCTTGTGGAAAAAGGGGTTTTTGCGCAAAAAGAAAACGTCTTTCGGAGGAGCTGGGTTTCCCAGTGTGGTCTGTGCTTTGGCTGTAGCTGATGGCTGGGGCTCAGCCAACCAGGCCACCTGAAGAAAACGTCCACACTGCTTGTTTTTGCGCAAAAACGGATTGGCAGAAAATATGCAAATGAGACAGCGACTCATGCAAATGAGTCCCTCGTTAGCATATTTTTTGCTGAGAAAACTCATAGTGTAGACGTAGCCCCATTGCGCGTCTATTGTTTTTTCCATCCCTCCACTGTGATGCATGGAAACCTGGACTCAAATTGTTGAGCTATCGCTGGGGGGTTCCTGGCCCTGCTCGCAGATGAAGCGGGCTCTGTAGAGAAATGTCCTACCTGAGCCAGTCTAGAGTACAACGGGGTGGGTCGTATCTCCCTATTTTGGAGCAGCCGGCGTGTCTGCATTTTTTGTTCTAGATCCTAAGAATTGCAGTAGTGTTGCATTGTAACCTTCCAGCAAAGGTCTCTGTGGTTTTCTCTGACTTCTCTGTCTGAGGGGTATCTGTGTAAGTCTGTCTCTGTAAAACCAATGAGGAGACCTGTGGCACTTTAAAGATGAGTCCCAACCACAGGCAGTAGCAATGAGCAGTTCAGTTGGAAAAGGAGGTCGGTAGCAAAGGGATGTGGTGGGACAGGACTCCGTCCTCCCAGAAATGTCAGCCTCCCTCCCAGGGCTACAAACCCACGTTCTCTGCAGGTAAAGGACTCTGGGCTGGCTTTCCCCCAACACTTCTAAATTAGGTACTGGATTTGTTCATTGATATTCTGAGGGGAGGAAAAAAGGTGCTTATGAAATGGCATTTTTCCACAAAATTCAGTAAAAATGGCTATTGTCTATTGACGCGCATGCTTCGTGAAGTTCCTTTTTTGCTTGGCATGCGTGCACCTTTGTTCAGAAATTGGGCCCATTTTCACTAGTGCTGGGTTCCAGCTGTGCCCAAGATTATGGACACAGGGACTATCCAAAGAATATTTGCATCAGCTTTATAAAGTTGAGCTGTATCTTTATGGACTCGGGGTAGTATTCCAAGTTCCTGGACAACTAGAGAGTTTCCTGCAGGAATTAAAATCACGGGTGTGGGGGGGGAGGAGAAATAATGAATTGCAAACCCTTGCATCCCTCAAACGAGGCTTATCTCATTGGGGTAAATTGCATAAGCTGGTCAGTGCCCACTCTGATGTAGGGAGAAAGGTGACTTTCCCTCAAGCCAAGAACTAGCATGAGACTGACCACAGAGAACCTGTCCTGGGAGAGGCCCTGAAATATTTTGCCAGGCTCTCCATATAGAGAGGTGGGGAATATCTGGTAAGATGGACATGTGTATAAGCTGTTTATTGTTTAGATTTTTGTGTGTGCTGCTTTTGTTGGATTATGGAGTACTTTGCTTTATGGAAGCTGGCTAGTCACCCCCTAACGACTTGGCTAATCAATTAACAATCCAGCTGGGAAGGTGTCAGGTGATCCCTAGCAAGGGCTGAGAGATGTTGCAGGAGAGAGGCCGGCTACTGCACTAGGCCCAGAACAGAATGGTGTGTCTTCCGTTCGGCTGTGAGAGACGCTGGGGAAAGTCTGTGTGGACTGAGGTATTGCCGTTCCTGTTGGGTATTTTTGCCTGAGTTCTATGTTTGAAAGATAAAACCCAGCCCGGAAAGAGGCTTGGATGTGGGAGGGAGATCTTTCTGGGAAGGTGAGGCCAGGGAGTGCGGGAGACAGGAAGAAGAGGCAGTGGCTAGCCTAAAGCCTGGTGGTGGAGGAGCCACAGAGAACTGGACTCAGCTCAGGTCATGCTGCTGAGGTGACCCCAGTGAAGTACAAGAGCCCGGCAGTCTCTTTCCCAGCAGAAGGCAACAGATCATAAGAGCCTGAGCTGAGAGAGCTGACTGCTGCGGGCCTGAGACCTAAGCGAGGTGTTCTCACGGAGGGGTCAAAGGGACACAGGCCTTGGAAACTGTGGCACCATCTTTCAGTCAAACTTCCTAAAACATCATCTCCTCGGCAGGCCTGGTTCTCACCCCGGCTGGCACACATTTGTCTCCTCAGGGGCAGAAGGAAGGATGAGCAATATGCCCCACCCCACCTCGGGTGTTGTTGGAAGTTGCTGCCCAAACCATTTTGTCCTGATGGCTCACCACCTGCCTCGGAGTGGCCCTGGTGGCGTGGCCAACTGGACCTCTGAGATTGGCAAGCACACGCTTCTGGCACGTCGGCCTGGCGCTGTGTGTGGCAGAGCGTAGCTGCATGGAGTTTTATTTCTGCACCATCAGCAATAGTTCCTGAGGAGAACTCTTTCTTCTAATAGCTAAAGCCCACTCCTGCCACCTGTCTGTTTGCACCATCAGCAATAGTTCCTGAGGAGAACTCTTTCTTCTAATAGCTAAAGCACACTCCTGCCACCTGTCTAACATCGGCTGCCTCATGCTATTTACAGAGACGCCGACATAATGCGTTTTAAGATTATGGGCGAGAGAGGAGTGTTTGGGCCTTGCTGCCTCATGCTATTTACAGAGACGCCGACATAATGTGTTTTAAGTGTATGGGCGAGAGAGGAGTGTTTGAGCCTTCCTAGTGGCTGACGCTGAGGATAAAGGACCTATTGCTGGTGCTAGCTGGGAGGATGTGCTCCTTAGTGCAAGGGGAAGAGACCTGTAATTTTGATGCTGAGGGGAAGACCAAGGTTCTAGACCTGACGTGTGTATGTGATATACGCTGTCCCTCGTACTTCTATCTGGTGGTCTCAGAACATGGATTTGTTGCATCGATAGCCTTGCACGTCAAGTGCTGACCTTAAAACGGCATGGTTACATCTGCAAATGATCATCGGTGGTACGGAAACATACTGTTTCAGTTTTAAGCTATGTTAGTGCCCCGAAAATGGAACCTCTTTTGAGACGCGCTCCGTTCTGCTGGTGATCTTGGGAAGCCATATTGCCCCCCTGAACTCTCAAGCAAACTATGCTCTTTCATCCCCTGCCAATGCTATCTGCTGTGGGGATATTTAAATTGAATTACAATACAAGGAAGCATCCGTTGAAACTCCCGAATAAAATCTGTATTTCAAATTTGATTCTAAACTTCTAGGAAATAATGTCGTTTCAGTTCCAGAAAGTTGGCTTGTTGCACAGATGCTGGAATTAATTACGTTCAAATATTTGTTTGGGGGAGGGAGGAGTCAGTGTCCGTCAAAGAACCAAATAACACTAATTTGCCTTTATTATTGGCTTCTCTGTGTATGACTGACAGAGAGAAGGCAGGATAGCTCTCCAAATCTACCCCCTGAATTTAGATGAGAGGTTAAACACTCGCTGGATTTCTTTTCCTTCTCTTGCCCCTTGCTACTGCTTCAAATATAAAGATGATAAACTATGTCTAAGAGAAATCAGAAGTTAAGATAGGGAAAGTCAGGTTTTTTTTAAAAAAGGGCTCAGCCTATTTTATAAGACAGACTTGGAACGAGTTTTCAACTTTTTTCCCCCTCTCCTATTAACAGTGAATAATAATACTTAGTGGGTCTATGTCCATTTTCATCCATAGATTTTTGGAGAAGCACCAAAATGGAGTGAAAGGGCCATAATTTTGTGTACAGTGTCTACCCCAACAGGATGTGACCGGGGTGTTAAGATGCCCTTGCAGTACAAATATTAAATAATAGGAGACCCCACGTTGCAGAGGAGAAAATAGGTGATGCTCCAGAATGAAGAAATTGTTAAGCCGCTGTTCAAAGTCAGTTCTTGCGTGGCTAGCAATGTGCTTTGAGCCCCCTTGGCTGTTTACTGGTGGAGAGTTCACTGGATTAGGAGATTTGCATTCTGTGCCCAGTTCAGTCTCACATTCGCTGCATGATTTTGGGCTAATCACGTCATCTCCCTATGCCTCTGTTTTCCCAACTGTAAAATGGGTGGGGAGATTGCTATGTAGAATCTGCCCTTGGAATGTTATGGAGGAAGAGTGCTAAAGAAGAGTCAAAAATTTGCTACTCTCCTGCCCTGGACAGCTGACTGTACAGGTAGGGTCTGGGCCCCAGAGATGCTGAGAGCTGTTCTCTTAGATCCAATGTCTCCACTGGCGGGTTGTTGCACCAGAAGTATGCAAATGAGGCTAAGCGTGGAATATTGCCGAGCCTCATTTGCATATCTCTGGCGCATGATCGCGCCAGTGTAGACATAGCCTGAGTGTCTTAATGTGTAGTTAGTCTTGACTCGCAGTGGGAGTAGAGGCTGGGGATCCTTGCATGAGATCAGGTCTGGCGTAATTTCCCATGCTCACCCTGAATCATTTGCAGGGTTCACCCCTCCTGCAAGCCAGGATGTAACCATTCCCCCCCAAAACCTGGTGAATCTCACTGACGCTGTGATGAGCTTTAAACTTCTCATCAGACACAGGGTGATAGAAATTCCAGCCTCTGCAATTTCATACCCTCATTTTACTTTGCATAAATAAGAGCAAAGTGCACATGAGCTAATGAATTTTATTTGTTAAGCACTTGGTTGGAAGGAATATCCCTCCCCCTTCCCCTCCCCCGCCCTGGGTTATATGTATATAGATGAAAATATTGTTAGTGATTTCATGAAATAATGGAGACTTAATCCTCTTTTCATTAGCAAACCACTTCAGGACATACATTGTGGCAAATTACACTGCATTTTAAGTCTCTCTCAAGTGCTGCACACTAGAAAAAACATTTGACTATTTTTGCATTGATAGAAGTAATTGTGCAGCTAATTTGGATTAGCAGCATGCATTAGGTTTTGCAAAGGAATTTATCCTTTCTGCTCGCTCTCCACTCCACAGTTGCCAAATGGATGTGTTTGTCATTTGTGGTTTGTTGTTTCGTAAGGGAAATCTGCTGGCTGATGTGTAGTATGCTATAGCTTGTCTGTCTGGTGTTTGTTGCCAAGGAGCATGGACAAGTGGGTGGAGCAGAGGACTGGTGGTCCAATTTGAGATTCCATCCCCCGCAAGACTTGATTTTCAGAGCTGCGGAGCAGGTGCAGCTCTCATTGAGTTGTGGGCGCTCAGTCCCTCTGAAAACCCCAAATCAGGGGCCTTTCTTGAAAATTGTACCCTGGACCTCTGTGTGTGTCAGTTGCCCCGTGTATAAACATCCCCAAACTCCAGAGCTCAGGAAGTTGTAGATTCATGGTCTCCAGTAATGCGGTGGAGATGCCCCACCCTTGTGCGACATGCCCAGCGGAATGTTTCTAGAGCACTGTGAGGCCTATGGACACACGACATTCTGTAAGTGCCAAGCAGCATTGCTTTCTAAATGTTTTGGCTTGATGTGCTGCATAAATCTTACTGCTGCATGCCCAAGTGCCAGGCAACTTGCTCAGTGAGATTTATGACTGGACATCTGCTGTGGAGAGAGAAAAAAAGTCTGTGTCCCCTGCTTTCCGCAGGAACCCCAGGTCATCCCTTTCCTGTGCAGCTGATTCCTCCTCATTGTCCAGAGATAGCTCCAAAGCCCTCTCAAGATGACCCCAGTCTGACACATTGCACCCTTGTGGACAGTTCTCTGCCTGTGCTGTTTACGTGAAAGTGTCTATAGACCCCAGCTGAGACCAGGAACTTGCTGTGCTTGGTGCGGTACAGGCACGCAGAAGGAGGCTAGGATTATGCAAGTGAACGTTCCCCTTTGAAATCAGTGGTAAAATTCCCATTGACTTCCACGGAGTCAAAATTTCACCCCGGAAGTCCGGGATGTGAATTTATTTACTCCCGTTTGTACTTAAGCGGAGTGGTGAAAACAGGGAATTTTGTTGAAACCCTTCTACCCATAAACTGAACATGGCAATAAATCTTTCATGTTTCTGCATGGTTTTCTGTAGAGGGTTAGAATGCTGTTGGGTTTTTTCCTGCTCATTGAACATCCTGCCCCACTAAAAACAATTGTAATCACTGAAGTTTTGCCATTCGCTTTGAATGAAATACTAGTCGCATCAAGCTCCATTAAAGTGCAACATGAGATTCCTTATTTAACCCCACTTAACATAAGATCTGCACAGCGGAAGAGAATATATTGCCACAAATACTGCATGTAGAGAGAGAGAGAGAGAGAGAAATAGCTGAGATCAAGTAATCAGAACGACAAGTTCTCGTGTGTTTTCAAGAGTATGCAACAGATCTGGATCTAATTTAGCAGTATGACTGAATCTGCATAATAGTACCCTCTCAATGCTAGCAAAATCATAGTCCTATATAAGCCAAGTTTCTTTCTTTAGAAATAGTGAAAGGTAGTGTAGTACGTTCCCCGAATTCCTGGCTAATGGTCTGTCCTTTCCTTTCCCAGGCACTACAAGTTATTAGGATGTTACCACCCCATGCTTCTGATCTGGGCAGACAAGCACTTACCCTCTTTGGTCAATGTCAGTACATCTCATTTTGCTAAGCAGAGAGCTGTTACCTGGCAGAAAACTTTTGTTTCAGCATTCCGTGTACTGACTACGTGAAGTGCTCTGTCTGCCTTGAACATAAGCAGGGCTTTGCTTTCTAGGTTCAAAGACTGGACGTGTCATCCGGAGCGAACGGTGTGTAAATGACAAGAAAACCCCTTTGGGTTAGGTTATTTCACTAAGCATATTGAAGGCTGAAAAATGCTGCTCCTGGTTATATCGTCCTCATGACGCTTTGCTTGAGCAACAGTATTAGCAACTATGTCCTCAAATGTCAATCTGGCACTTTTTGAGCCCTGCAGCGAGGAACGGAGGAATGTGTTTGGGATACTTTATTTTTTTTATGCATCTATTTAAAACATATTTGAGATTTAGAATTTATTAAAACCCTATCCTGGGGAGAGGGGAAATCATAACTTTGTTACTCCTGGAAAAGCTGGTTTCCTCTACGTCAGCTGGGAGTCCAGAAAGAATGCAGAGAAGGGCGGTAAATACATAACGAATAATCCTAAAATGCCTCCATTATATTAAATGAAGGAACTCCTGAGACTATGATCCCTATCTATTATCCTCTCTAACTTCACTAGAAAGTGTCATTTAATTCAGCCTCTTTGAATCACCCGGATGTCCTTACGTTTGAAAGATTTGGGGGGCTGTGAAGTAGTTCATTTAATGCAGTTATCTTTAAACAATTTCAAGCCAGACAAAGTTGCAGCGTCTGTGATTATTTCCTAAACCCTCCTGCTGTGTACATTCCTAACTAACCAGCTATTTCAATGAACCTCTCAATCTCTGATGCTTTAAAACAAAACACAACATTTTGCCTTTATTCTTTGTTGGTTAATTTAAAACAGGCTAAGTCAGGGGTTCCACTGAATATCAGTGCCCAAGAAACTGAAAACCATATTCGCATTTCATAGGATCTGTAACTGGATTGGATTCTTGACCAAGAATCATTAGAGAATGAACAAAATATGTAGGTAGGAGGATTTCTAATATCACCCTCCCCCCAAAAAATTAACCTGTAAAACTGAAGCTGGATTTTCTCTTTTTTTTAAATCTAATTTCAGCCCAGATTTAAAGGGGATATGCTGTATAAACACATTGATTTTAGCTCTCTTCGAGTCTCCTCATGCTATAGTTTTTAAGAGAAACTGGCCCTATATTCTTCCAAAAAAAAATTGATTATCCACTTTTCCATGCCTTTGCTCTATAAGAATTTTATGAAGCCGTCAGCTTGCCGGCTTCTCATTCTATGCCAGGACTTGCTGAGCTAGTTGTTAAAAGGAAGAGTGGAAGCATAGGAAACAGAATTCAAAGCTGATATTGGTTAGGCTTACCTGTAAGCTTGGGCAGGAGCTGCAGGTAGCTTGGCTCTACGAAGTGTGGCAGGACAACACAGGAAATCTTACTAACTTTGAAACTCGGATCTATTTTTAGGATAGGATTTGCTGACTCTGACCTTCTGTGCTACCCAGTTCATGGAAGAAGCTTTACATCTGCTTGTAAACCTATTCCCTGATGTGACCTGAAACCTTAAATCTGTCATTGAGTCATGGTCAGATTGGTCAGTCACAGCATGAGTAAGATAATGTGACGTCTGCACGTTGGTTACTATAATAAACAAGAAGGCATCTTTTACCTTCCCGGTCCCCTTTCAGTCCTGATGCTAAATTTAATCCTGGCTTTGTTAGACGCAATTAACAGCTGTTTGTCATTATGATACCTCTGGTGGCTTCATGCGTGCTAGATAATGGACTACAAGAGCAGAGAAGGTCTTAGCGTGACCTGTATCTACACAGGGCACCAGGCATGGTGTGTGGATGTGGTGAGATGCTCCTGATTTGTTAAGCAGATTTTCCTCATCAATTGTTCTGTCTCCAGCATTGATGTCTGAGCAGAAATTGTAATTCCTTAAGGACCATTCCCTGCTTGGAAAGATGGGTATCCGCTCCACTTGCTACCTTCCCAGTCCACTTGGACAGAAGTCGGAGTCTCCCAAACAGGAGCAAAGGGAGAAGATTGTTGTTGGGATTATGGGACAAGCAGGACATTATAATTGGAGATGCCACTGGATGCTACTTAGTGCAAGACCAAGCTAGGGCTCTTCCCATACTTCAGTGTCTTCTTATCACTCAAGTACAGAATAACTACAAGTCAGTGTTTCAGAGGGTGGGGCTTGGGGACTTCCACACTTAACTTGTCCCATCACCCAGTCCCGCGCTTCAGTTCCTGTCTCTTTCTTACTGGCTGACGATTCCTTCATGCCGTGAGCTTCAGTGTCAAACAGCCAAAGGCAAACTCTGTCTCCTCTTCCTGAAGCTCTTTCCATGTGCCATTCTTTCACCATCTCCCCTCGCTCAGCCAAGCCAAAAGCCTGGTGTAAACAAACTGTGGGCATCTACTGCCGAGGGGAAAAGGGTGGTTGGTGAGGTGCACCATGGTGTGGTGCACCTCAGGGGTTAGATGATTGGTAGGTTAAGATGTGGAGCTGGGTTGGGGCCAGAGAGCTCCTGCAGCCAGAATCCACTTACAAGCGCATACCTTGAGCATGGGCAGGAGGCATTCAAAAGCACATTTTACCAAAACCTCATTGATTTTTGGGGGTCTGACACATGCGTTTTGAGCTTCTGGCCTTGGCAATGCTGGGATGAGGGGGATGTACACCATGGCCATCAGCAGAGGGCTGAACCCAGCACCTGCCACTCCAAAAAGCACAGACCTTGGCCTCTAGAGCTAATGGAGTTCTCCAGGACAATCAGTGGGGCTGTGTGTGTGTGTGTGTGTGTGTGTGTGTGTGTGCGCATTAATAGCTATTCATGCATGTTACTTTGCTTCCTGCTGCCCCGTCTTCATCAACTGCGCCAGTTCGGTTGCACATTTGCCATCTTCCCTCACACATGTTCCCTCCTTGCCTTCTGGGCATGGGATGTTCCTCCATGAATTGAGCCATAGATGGGTGCACATCCATTGCCTCTGTCCTCCTCAAGGCTCACCTTTGCCACCGTGCCTGCAAGAAGTCAGCCAGTTCATGAGAGTGCACGGGGGAAAGGGCTTTTCAGCCTTGTGTCGGAAAAAGCCACCTTGAAATTATATTAAAAACTATTATCAAATTGCATGTGGGCCTTCTGGAAATTTTAGCCAAGTCCCATTTTCCAAAGCACTCGGGTGCTTTGAATTAAGAGCCTAAATCCCATTCATTTTTTTCCCCATGAGGCTAAGGCTCTGTTTACACCTCTAGTATGTAGCTTATCTGCAGAATGTGAAGTAACCGTGCCTGAGCTGGCTTTAATCTTTAGCTTTGAGGTGCAGCAACACGGACTTCAGTGCAGGTGGCCAGGTGAGTTTGTACAGCCTGAACAGCTGCCTGCGTGGTGGCAAATTTGCTGCTCGTGGTAGCCTAGCTAGCTCGACTAATGTTCTCGTGGGTAAACCTACAAACTACAGCCACATAGCCTATGACTGCAGAGCAGACAGACCCTTAGATACTTTACGTGCTTTTGAAAACTTTAACCCATAACCCTATCTTCCACCCTTCCTGTGCCACTGCTCTTTGTAGATGAGTAAAACCGTCTGGGGAGGAGCTGGGTGTTTGCACATTTTATCTAGCACCCCCACGTAGCACAATGAGACCTCACGCTTGGGTGCATTTGGAATAATAGTTGCTGTTAGAGCTCTGGGCAATTGGATCCGTTTAATGGAATACTAGAACTGGAGAATCATAGAATACTAGGGATCTTGAGAGATGATCCAGAGAGGTTATTATTCCCCTTTATTCAGCTCTGGTGAGGCCACCTCTGGAGTATTGTGTCCAGTTCTGGGCCCCCACTACAAAAAGGATGTGGACGCATTGGAGAGGGTCCAGCGGAGGGCCACCAAAATGATTAGGGGGCTGGAGCATATGACCTATGAGGGGAGGCTGAGGGAGTGGTGGCGGATGGCAGAACAAGGAGCAATGGTCTCAAGTTGCGGTGGGAGAGGTCCAAGTTGGATATTAGGAAAAACTATTTCACTAGGAGGGTGGGGAAGTGCTGGGATGGGTTCCCTAGGGAAGTAGTGGAGTCTCTATCCTTAGAGGTGTTTAAGTCTCGGCTTGACACAGCCCTGGCCGGGTTGATTGAGCTGGGATTGGTCCTGCCTAGAGCAGGGGGCTGGACTTGATGGCCTTCTGAGGTCTCTTCCAGCTCTATGGTTCTATGATTCTGTGATCATCAAGTCCCGTCTCCTGCCCTCGCAGCAGGAACAAGCACTATCTAGATCATCTAACCCTGATAGATGTCTATCCAACCTGCTCTTCAATATCTCCAGTGATAGACATTCCACAACCTCCCTAGGCAATTGATTCCAGAGTTTCACCACCCTGACAGTTAGGAAGTGTTTACTAATGTCCAGCCTAAACCTTCCTTGCTGCAATTTAAACCCATTGCTTCTTGTCCTGTCTTCAGAAGCCAAGGAGAACAGTTTTTCTCCCTTCTCCTTGTAACAGCCTTTTAGATACTTGAACACTGCTATCATGTCCCCCTCAGTCTTCTCTTTTCTAAACTAAACAAACCCAGTTCTTTCCGTCTTCCCTCATTGCAGACCTGGCCAGAGTTCACGGGGCCCAAGGCACTGTGGCTGAACCACATGGCCATGCGTCTCCCAGTCAGGGCAGCGAGTGAGCAGCCAGGGGGGCGGGCCCAAGGCAACCCCCTTGCTCACCTTGCCCAAAGGCCAGGGCTGCCTCATAGCTCATGTTTTCTAGACCTATGAGGTCATTTTTGCTGCTCTTCTCTGGATCTTCTCCAACTTCTCCGCATCTTTCTTGAAATGTGGTGCCTAGAACTGGACACAATACTCCAACTGAGGCCTAATCAGTGCAAAGTAGAGCGGAAGAATGACTTCTCGTGTCTTGGTCACAATACTTCTATTAATGCTTCCCAGAATCTTGTTCTTTTTTTTGCAACAGTATCACACTGTTGACTTGTGTTTAGATTGTGGTCCACTATGACCCCTAGATCCTTTTCTGCAGTACTCCTTCCTAGACAATCACTTCCCATTCTGTATTTGTCAAACTGATTGTTCTTTCCTAAGTGGAGTATGTTGCATTTGTCCTTATTAAACGTCATCCTACTTACCTCAGACCATATCTCTAGTTTGTCCAGATCACTTTGAACTATGACCCTCTCCTCCAAAGCACTTGCAGCCCCTCCCAACTTGGTTTGATTTATATGAAGAGGCTCTTCAAGCTTTGTTGTTATACATAGGGCCCTAGCAAATTCATGGCCATGAAAAATGTGTTAGGGACTATAACTGTAGTCTCCCTCCATGAAATCTGGTGGTCTTTGTGCTTTTACCTAACACTGTACAGATTTCACAGGGGACACCAGTGTTTCTGAAATTGGGGATCCTGACCCAAAAGGGTGGGTCAGGATCCTTACAAATATAACACTAGGTAATTTGATTTAAATAGCTGAAATAATGAAATGTGCTATTTAAAAACCCTGTTGCTTAAACTGACCAAAATGGACTGTGAATTTAGTAGGGCCCTGTTTATGCAGTAGAGCAATTGAGCTTCCTGTCCAATTATTCAGATAGTCGTCATTCAAATAAAAAAAGATCTTAGATGTTAGAAACCTGCTGGGCCTTCCAAGGTACCTCAGAAGGTAGTTGAACAAATTAATTGCCTTCTGGGGAGAAAGCAATATCTGTCAAATGTGACAGAAACTGGCGCTCTGGTCATTTTATTTTTATCCTGGCGACCAACCCAGCATGGGGGAATGGTGGTAAAGTGATACAGCAATATTCATTAGAATAGGTTATGTAATGTGGCGACTGTATAATCTATGGTGGTGGAATGTTTCCATTCTTAAACTGTCACTCAGCAAGTTTGACCTTTTGATGTCAGACTGATGGTATGGCATGGTTTTGAGCTATATTTTTTTTTTCTTTAGGGCCAAGAATATTAAACTGAAACAGATGTATGTATTTGTGTTCCTGGCTGTCAGAACAATACAAGCTCTTGCTGCAACTCTCTGGAATCAAAATAAGCCCTGGGAAGTGGATTTTAATGGCCAGGAACCTAGGGTCTAGTTTGGCATCCAGTTGTGTGGGCTTTGGTAGGTTTTGTTTTTTAATCCACAGCCTTTGTGGGGAAGGTTTTTCAGAAGTCACTTGCTGGTTTTGGGCCCTGCAGCTTCTTGGTTCCTAGGCTGAAAGCGTGTAAAGAGACAACCTGATTTTTTTGAGAGAGAATTGAGTACCCACTTTCTGAAAATCAGGACTTTTTAAGGTAGCCCCTGTTAGGAGCCAGGAAGCAGAGACGCTAGATCACTAGTTAGTTTTGAACATGGCAAGGCCATTTGAGTGACCTTCCAAACCAGGGGCTCTTAAACGTCACTGCACCTTGACCCCTCCCCCCCCTTCTGACAACAAAAATGAACTACAACTCCAGGAAGAGCCTGAACCAAAGCACAATCCCTACCGTCTGGGGGAGGGGGA